CCAGTGACAGATGCAAAACATGGATAAATGTTAGCAATATTATACTGAATAAAAAGAAGCCAAACACAAAAGAGTTCATATTATGTCATTCCATTTTTATGAAATTTAAGAACAGGCAAAACAATGGAAACAGAAATCAGAAGAATGGTTGCCAGAATCATGGTGGAGGTACAAGCAACAGATGAGGAAAAGACACAATGGTTGAGTCATATACTTGAGTCACATAAAAAAGAAAAATGAATCAATTAAAAATATATTAAATTCTTTTGATTTTCTAAAAGATAAAATGAAAACAAGGAAAATTTCTGGAGCATGACAATATGTTACTCTAGTCAGAGTTCATCTAACTTTATACTTAAGATTGCCTGTTTAATGTAACTATATGTCAATAAAAATCACAAATAAATAAATGAGTTAAAATTCTGCTGAAGACTATGGAAAGGGGCATTTATTCCTTTCTCTTCCATTGAAAACCACTAAAAACATTAACAAAAAAGTAGACCAGTGGAAATGCAGCAAGATACTTGCACAGCCTCAAACACTATACAAAGTATGAGCAAATATTTAGCAAATACAGTGAAGTTTAAGCCAACCACAGAGCACAGCAAGGCTGACATGTGCCACTTCCAGTCTCAAACAGGATGTCGATTTCCCAAAATTTAAGTATCACTTAACTTTTGCGAATATCAAAAATTTCCATATATATGGAAATATGCTTTTTTTCCTAGAAATAAATGAAAAAACTCATTAATAGTGGTTGCCTTTAGAGAAAAACGACAGAAAGAGATTTTATTTGCTCCAACTTATACTTTTTTTTTGAGACAGGGTCTCATCATTGCCCAGGCTGGAGTACAGTGGTACAATCATAGCTTACTTTAATCTTGAACTCCTGGGCTCATGGGATCCTCCCACCTCAGCCTCCTGAGTAGCTGGAACTACAGGTGCACAAGACCACGCCTACCTTATTTTCCAATTTTTAGTAGAAACAGGATCTCGCTATATTTCCTAGGCTAGTCTCCAACTTCTGGGCTCAAGAGATCCTCCCACCTCAGCCTCTCAAAGCGCTAGGATAACAAGTGTAAGCCCACCTTGTACCTTTCTACATAGCCCAAATTTTCTAACCTTATGCAAATATATTATTTTCTTTTTAAGTAAACGTAAGTCACACCTGGTCTCCTTTATTGTTTCCCTTTTTATGTACTCTTTGTATCCAATACAAAACAACAAATGTATTATTTAATAATAAAATTTCTAAATGTTCTTTTACACTAATTTTAAAGCAAAAAATACTGAGGACCAATCTCTCCTCTGAGAACAAATTTTAAAAATGATTAATAGGAGGCCGGGCACAGTGCCTCATGCCTGTAATCCCAGCACTTTGGGAGGCCAAGGCAGGCAGATCACCTGAGGTTGGGAGTTCGAGACCAGCCTGACCAACATGGAGAAACCCCACCTCTACTGAAAATACAAAATTAGCCCGGCATGGTGGCACATGCCAGTAATCCTAGCTACTGGGGAGGCTGAGGCAGGAGAATCACTTGAACCCGGAAGGCGGAGGCTTGCAGTGAGCAAAGATACGCACATTATACTCAGCCTGGGCAACAAAAACATGAACGCTGTTCTCAATAAGCACAAAGAAAACCTCAACAAAAGAAAGCGTTAAAAAAAAGAATGGTTATAAGGTCAAGCGGTAGCGAGGGCTCACGCCTGTACCCCAGACCAGCTTCCAGGTGTGCTGAGGTGGGAGGATCACTAACAACATAGCAACCAACTTTGTTCTGCAAACAAATTTTAGAAACTAGGCTAAGCATGGTGGCGCATGCGTAAATCCCGACGAACTCAGCCAGAGCTGAGGGTGGAGGAACAGCTTGAGCGGGAACTGAGCTGCAATGAGCCATGAGTGCACGCAGTGCACTCAAGCCTGGATGACAGAACAAGATCGTCCAAAAAAAATAAGTAAATATAATACATGGTTTATTTTTTCTTATAACAAAAAAAATTTATAGATATTCCATATCTATTAAGATTATCTAAAATGTTATCCTAAATGAATGCCTGCAGTTTATGGACTGAATGGTATTGCCCCCAATGAATTACTCATTGCTGAAGCCCCAACTCGCTAACATGTGTCTGTATGCCAGAGCAAGAGGGCCTCCAAAAGGGTTGAATGAGTGTCATGTGCGTGGGTTCCTATTCAGGTAGCGCTAATGTCCAGCTTATTTAAGAACGATAAGACACCTAGGATACACGTAGGCCGTCAGAGAAAAAGCACATGAAGACATCCAAGAGAAGACAAGTCCATCGTGGCAATCAACGTATCGAGAGGTCTGCAGCAAGTCAACCTGCCAAGCCACCTTCATCTCGGATTTCCCATTCCAAAAGGCACATTCCATGGCTCATCCCTCTATCCCCCCCCCCAAGCTGACCTGACTGGGAAGACCAAAGTAGAGAAACTGCTTAAGGCCGACGTTACAGCGACAAGCCTGAGGCAGATAGCAACGATCCCACCCTCAACAATGCCAAAAAACAAAAAAAAAAAAATGGTAAGTAGCGGCCAGGCACTGCTTTATTCCGGCACGCTACTCAGGAGGCTGGTCAGTAAGTATCACATGTAGGCCACGGGTTTCGAAGGTTTCAGCTGAGCTATGATTCGTGCGCACTGGATCCTAAGTGTGGAGCAACACAGACCACTGTCTCTAAATAAGCTAAATCCCTTCCATGGTAGATTAGATAAAGAAAAAGTGGTAACATACATCCTATCCGAATCAACTATGCAGCCATAAACAAAGAATGAGATCATGTCCTTTGCAGGGACATGGATGAAAGCGAGAGCACCATTATCCTCAGCAACTAACACAATAGACAGAAAATCAGCAAATACTGCATGTTCTCACTTATAGCTGAGAGGGCTAATGATCAGAAGCAGCGTGGACCATAGAGGGAAGCAATACACCCACTGGGGCGGGCCTTTGTCAGTGTCGCGAGGATGAGGAGGAACGAGAGAGGCAGGAAAAATAAAGCAATGGTACTAGCTTAATATCTGGTGATGAGAATTAATCTGTGGCAACAACCCCATGGCACAAGTTACCTATGGACAAACCTGGCACTTGTACCACTAAACTTAAACGTTAAAACAAAACACCAAAAAACTGCGCTATCTTACAGCCTTATTCATTCAACAGCTGATTATAATGGCTTACACGAGTGAATAAAGTCGAGGATTTATTCAAATACCTTTTGAAATATAGTTTGTATTACTCTTGCAATAACATACACTCTCAAATTAAATGGGTCAAGAGCATAAAAGAACACAAGCAACTTCTATAAATCATTATCATTTTAGTAAACTTAAAACAGAATTTATTTACATATAAGATTAAATTGTCTCGAAAGAAATCAATTCATACAGCATAATAATGGTATAGCCAGTTTTAAACTGAAGAGCCTAACTCAAGTTTAAAATTTCATTTAAAGCATTGCAAAATGAACTAAAATCTGCAATTAAATAACAGCAGAACACAACCAAAAAAAAGGGACTATAGCAGAAATAAAAAGTTCGTGGTTTTTTGTTTTTTTGTTTTTTTTTTTTTTGGACAGGAATATCAACTAACTGTTGCCAGCGCTGGAGTGCAAGATGGCATGAATCTTGGCTCAGCTGGTAAAGAAACCTCCCTTGCCAGGTTCAAGCAAGATCCTCCTTCTCTAGTCCCCCATAAGTAGCCTGGGATTACGGGCATGTGGCACCATGCTGGCGTCAAATTTTCTATTTTTAGGTAGAGACGTTTCACCATGTTTGGCCAGGTGGTCTCAAACTCTGACTCAGGTGATCCACCCACCCTCGGCCTCCCAAAGGTGGGCTGGGATTACAGGCATACCCGGCCACCAGCGCCCAGGCAAAATTCAGTTTTATTACAGTATTCTGTTTTTTTTTTTTTTAAGTTTGATCATGACTTTTTATTTAAGTTACAAAAATCTTTTTTTATTTTAAGCTTTTTATCCATTTAAGTCTAATTTTATTACTAGTTACAGTTAACAAAAATCTTTGACTCTCCTTTGAATAATCTTCAAATCAATCTTGCATACAGTGAAGACGAAAAATAGCACAATTAATGCCGGAAGGGGCCTGATTTGCCCAAAATGTCGTCAATGAATGAATCAACTGACTTCTGAATGCACAGCTTTAAAGTCAGATGTTCCCATTTGACTTGTCAGTTTCTCCCGTTTGATAGCATAGGTGTAAAATCATTACACTGCTTTTTCTTCCTTTTTCTCTTAATTACATACCTTTAGTTCTACGGTACTGGTGGGGAATAACTGGGCAGGTTTGTTACATACGCTATACTTGTGGGCTGTGCCTGTGCTGCACCTTATCAACCCATGCAGCCGCCTCAACTCGTCATGGACCCTACGTGCACGACATCAGGTATCGACTTCCCAATCTGGCAATCCCTCGCCCTCTCCCCTCTCCCCTCCCGCGTGATAGGCCCGCGTGTGTGTGTTCCCCTTCCCCGAGTCAGTGATCTCATGTTGTGTTCACCTATGGAGTGAGGACATGCGGTGTTGTGTTTTTCTGTTCTTGGCGATAGTTCTGCGAGAATTGATGGTTTTCCACGCTGCTTCCTATGTTCCCTACAAAAGGACACAACTCATCTTTTTTATGGTGCATAGTATTCCATGGTGTATATGCTGCCACATTTTCTTAATCGCAGTCGGTGTGACTGATGCGACATCTTGGGTTGATTCCAAAGCTTTGCTATTGTGAATAGATGCGCCAATACAACATACGTTGCATCCCGTGTCTTTATAGCAGCATGATTTATAATCCTTTGGGTATATACCCAGTAATGGGATGACTGGGTCATATGGTACTTCTAGTTCTAGATCCTTGAGGAATCGCCATACTGTTTTCCATAATGGTTGAACTAGTTTATTATTACAATATTTTAAACACACCAAATAAAACTATATACTTAAAAGAAATTAATTTTAATTTTATTTACCCCCTGCAAAGGGAGATTCCAGCATTCTGAGCTTCTGAATTTGGACAGTGGTGATTGAACATGGACATCCTCTGGTTCTGCATTTAACATCTTTCTTATCTGAAAATAGGATGAGAAAATAATTAGTTTAATTGAACTATATACAAGAGCTAATTCAGCTAACAGAACCATTATATTACCTTGCATTAATAATTTGCTAACAGTTTTAAGGAGTTTTAAATTCAGTGCTTAATTCATATGCAATTAAATATAATTTTTATTTACAAAAACCCTCTCCTTGACTTTGAAAGTAGATAAATGAAGAATCACAAGAGCTTCCTAACTATTCTCTTGCCTGCTGTCTTCTCCCCTTTTAACCTTTCAAATGTCAGCCCCAGAGTTCTCTAATACATAAAACCTAATTATGGCTGCAATACTTAAAAATTCAACAACGGTAGCCATTACTTACAGATAAAACTCTTTACAACTGTAAAACTCTTTACAGTCTGAGCTCTTTCACATCACACACACATCAAAACTACAACCCAATCACCCTGAATGAATCAACCTTCTTCAAACACATCACATTATTTCATATTTCTAAACCTTTGCATATACTGTTTCCTCAATCTAGAATGCTCTTCCTTCTCTCCCTAGTGAAGTACTCCAGATTCTTGTCAAAATTACTATTTTATCTACGCAACCATCACTGCCACACCACACATTCCTGAAACAGAATCGATGGAACAGATCAATGGAACATTATAAAGAACTCTGAAATAAGACCACACACCTATAACAATCTGATCTTCGACAAACCTGACAAAAACAAGCAATGGGGAAATAATTCTCTATTTAATAAATGGTGCTGGGAGAACTGGCTAGCTATACGCAAAAAATTGAAACTGGATCCCTTCCTTATACCATATACAAAAATTAATTCAGGATGGATTAAAGACTTCAATGTAAAACCCAAAACTATAAAAACCCTACAAGAAAATCAAGGCAATACCATTCAGGGCATAGGCACAGGCAAATATTTTATAACGAAAATGCCAAAAGCAATTGCGATAAAAGCAAAAATTGATAAATGGGATCTAATTAAACTAAGGAACTTCTGTACAGCAAAGGAAACTATCATCAGAGTGAACAGACAACCTACAGATTCGGAGAAAAATTTTGCAGTCTATCCATCTGACAAAATTCTAATATCCAGGGTCTAAAAGGAACATAAATTTATAAGAAAAAAAAATCCCCATTAAAAAGTGAGCAAAGGATATGAACAAACGATTCTTAAAGGAAGACACACATGTGGTCAGCAACATCACTGATCACTAGAGAAAGTCAAATCAAAACGACGAGACACTATCTCACACCACTCAGAATGGCTATTACTAAAAAGTCAAAAAACAACAGATGCTGGCAAGGTTGTGGAGAAAAAGGAACACTTTTACACCACTGCTGGGATTGTAAATTAGTTCAACCATTGTGGAAGACAGTGTGGTGATTCCTCAAAGACCTAGAGGCAAAAATACCATTTGACCCAGCAACACCATTACTGGGTATATACCCAAAGGAATATAAATCACTCTGTTACAAAGATATATGCATGCACATGTTTGCTGCAACACTATTCACAATAGCAAAGACATGGAATCAACCCAAATCCCCATCAATGATAGACTGAATAAAGAAAATGGTACATAGATACCATGGAATACTATGCAGCCATGAAAAGGAACACGACCATGTCTTTTGCAGGGACATGGATGGTGTTGGAAGCCATTATCTTCAGCAAACTAATGCAGAAACAGAAAACCAAACAATTCATGTTCTCACTTTTAAGTGGGAGCTGAATGATGAGAACAGATGGACACAACGGGGGAACAACACACATTGGGGCCTGTCAGACAGGTAGAGGGAGCATCAGGAAGAATAGCTAATGGATGCTGGCCCTAATATCTAGGTGATAGGTTGTTCTTGCAGAAAACCACCATGGCGCACACCATGGCGACCTATGCAACGATCCTATACATCCTGCACGTAGTACCCCTGAACTTAAATAAAAGTCAAAGAAAAAAACGTTCACCACTGTTTCCCTGGTTACTTATGTCTAATGGAGTATCCAATACATGTTGAGTACCCAATAAATATCTACTGACCAATGCTTTAATCAATTAGATTTCAGAAAATAATGTTCATTATATACAGGTACGTAGGAAAAAACAGATTACAAGACAGTATTTTGTGGTTTTCTATTTTTTAATATTTGTTTCTTATAAAGAGACAAATAAACTAGAAGGATACACTTCATAGTATTAATTCTGGTTGTGTCTGGGTGGTCTTCTTTTTGTTTAACTGAACTTTAGAATATCTCTACAACAATCTAGTGTCATTTTAGAAATATTTCTTAAACATGTGTTTATTTATTTGAGACAGGGTCTCACTCTGTCACCTAGGCTGGCATGTAGTGACTCAGACATAACTTACTTCCTGCTTCTACCTCTTGGGCCCAGGCAATCTTCCTGCCTCAGCCTCCTGTGCAGCTGGGACCACAGGCATGCACCATCATATCTGATTAATTTTTTTTTGTTTTGTAGACACAGGGTCTTACTTTGTTGCCCAGGCTAGTCCCGAATTCCTGGGCTCTGGGGCTCAAGTAATCCTCCCACCTTGGCCTCCCTAAGTGCTGGGTTTAGAGGCATGAGCTCCCACACCCAGCCAAACACTTCAAACACTGTTTTTTTTGTTTGTTTTTTTTTTTTTTGAGACAGAATCTCAAAAAGGCTGAAATGCAGTGCAGTGACGCGACCTCAGCTAACTGCAACCTCCACCTCCCGGGTTCAAACGATTCTCCTACCTCAGCGTCCGGAGTAGCTGGGATTACAAAAATGCACCACCATACCCAGTTAATTTTTGTATTTTCAGTAGAGATGGGCTTCCGCCATCTTGGCCAGGCTGGTCTTGAAGTCCTGACCTCAAGTGATCTGCCCACCTTGGCCTCCCAAAGTACTGGGATTATAGCCATGAGCCAACCTGCCAGGCCCAGGTCAAACACTTTAAATTCAACATGTGTTAGTATCTTCTCCCTGTATCCATCAAAGCTCTTATCCTTTTGGTAATTTATTTCCACTAGCAGCCTGGAGGAAAAGGCAGTAATATAAACTACTAACAATAATGTAATATGCTAATTTTCTAAGAAAGTCTACATTTTTTAAATGCACTACCACAACTTTATGTATAAATTATGGGATTAAGAAATAAGTAAATATATTGTAGATAATGAGAGACAGAAAAAAAAATAAGGAAAGAGGAAAAGCTACAATAAGCCTTGTAGTGTGGGACTGGAATCAGAAGTATCAGTATTCATTTTTTTATACAGATAGGCAGATAGAGAAATAAATATAGATATATGTGTTTCTGTGGGAAAATAGAGATACATATGTTGTATGTGTGAACATATATTTTTCTAGTCTTGTCTGTTGAGAAAGCCTAAAAACAATGACATTCCAGTTGCAAGTACACCTAGCACACAGACCTGGGTTTCTAAATATCATCCTTCAATTGAAAGAACCAGGACTCCCTGGGAAAGTGGTTGATTTCAAGCCTGGGGCAGGGAAAACACAAGATAAGCATCTTGCAGTGCCAAAAAATATACAGTGTCAGAAAGTAAGCGTTCAAAAAAAAAAAAAAATGATAGGAGCACGTCAAAAGGGTACAGCCAACATGAAAGATCTCCCAAGGCTGGAATACTTTGACCAACAAACCTGTAATGACAGTAGTGGATTATAACTCACAGAATGAACTAAATATTCTATGAGTCTATATTGATATAAATAAATAAGTGAAGCCAGGCACAGTGGCTCATGCCTAGAATCCTCACACTTTGGGAAGCCAAAGCAGGAGGACCTCTAAATAAATAAATAAGTAAGTAAGTTGGGGAAGAGAATCAGCTCTCCCTTACAGAAGAATTTTTATTTTTTAGAGACAGTGTCTCATTCTGTTATCCAGGCTGGAATGCAGTGGTGCAATCATGGCTGACCAAAGCCTCAACTTCCCTGGCTCAAGCAATCTTCCTATGTCAGCCTCCCAAGTAGCTGGGATTCCAGGCATATGCCAACATGCCAACTAATTTTTATTTTTCGATATGGGGTCTCACTCTGTTGCCCAGGCTGGCCTCAAATTCCTGACCTCAAGTGATCCTCCCACCTCAGCCTCCCAAAGTGCTGGGATTACAGTTGTGAGCCACCACACTGGTCCCTTATAGAAGAATTTACATTCATAAATCTATAGTGAATGAGCAAAAGAGAAAACCACCAAAATATCACAAATACAAATTTGCAGGCAAGATACACTGATAGATGCTACAACAGTAAACAAAAGTTTGAGATAAAATAATATATTTGCACAGATTCAAAGCATCTCCCCTATTTATTAATTATAAAGAGGAGAAAAGTAACTTTACAATGGAGCAAACAGGCAGACACCATCTTAACCAAACAATCAAGGCTGACATTACCAGTACTAAGATATATCACTATCACGTAACCCCTGATATAATGCACTAAGAAGGGCACCATCACTTCTGTGGTATTCCTCCCAAAAAGTCATAACCTTAATCTAATCTTGAGAAACCTGAAACAAACCCAAAGTGAGAGATATTCTACAAAATACTGTCCAGTTTTCTTCAAAAGTGTCATGGTCATGAAAGAAAAAAGACTGAAGAATTGTCACAGACTTAAGAAAACTAAGGAGACCTAACAACTAAATGCAATGTGGGATCCTGGATTGGATCTGGCAACAGAAAAAGGACATTAGTGAAACCGAAGGAATCCAAATGATGTCTACAGTTTAAAGCAGAGGTCCCCAACCCCCAGGCCAAGGACAACACAGCAGGAGGTGAGCAGCATGGGAGCCTTAGGGCCTGAGCTCCAACTCCTGTCAGATCAGCAGTAGCATTAGATTCTCATAGGAGCACAAACACTATTGTAAACTGCGCGTGCAAGGGACCTAGGCTGCACGCTCTTCTGAGAACCCAATGACTGAAGATTTGAGGTAAAACAGTTTCATCCCAAAACCATCCTCCCGACCCCTGTCCATGGGAAACTGTCTTCCACGATACTGGTCCCTGGTGACAAACAGGTTGGGGACCACCGGTTTAAGGTACTGTATGAATATAAATTTATTGTTTTTTATAATCATACTATAGTTACGTAAGATAATAACATTGAGAGAACCTGAGTGAATTGTACAGGAACTCTGCAAAATTTCTGTAACTTTTCTGTAAGTCTCAACTTCCTTGTAAACAAAAGTTTAAGAAACACTGTAGTACATCTAAAAATCAGAAAGAGAAATGGATTAATTAAGTATTAATTTCTAATGGCAGGATTTCAGATTAATTGCATGAATAATGCAACAGTCTAAAGCAAGATATTTCACTTCACTGGATATATTAAAAACAAAAATAGTAGTAGTTAATACAGAAGTATTTCAAAGTGGTATGATAGTATTTATCCTGGCAATGTAAGATTTTTTTTTTTTGAGACAGAGTCTTGCTCTGTCACGCAGGTTGCAGTGCAATGGTGCAATCTCGGCTCACTGCAACCTCTGCCTCCCACCTCAGCGATTCTCCTGCCTCAGCCTCCCAAGTAGCTGGGACTACAAGCACCCGCCATCATGCCCAGCTATTTTTTTTTTTTTTTTGAGACAGAGTCTCGTTCTGTTGCCCAGGCTGGAGCGCAGTGGCACGATCTCAGCTCACGGCAAGCTCCGTCTCCCAGGTTCACACCATTCTCCTGCCTCAGCCTCCCGAGTAGCTGGGACTACAGGCATCCTCCACCATGCCCCACTAATTTTTTGTATTTTTAGTAGAGACAGGGTTTCACCACGTTAGCCAGGATGGTCTCAATCTCCTGATATCGTGATCTGCCCGCCTCGGCCTCCCAAAGTGCTGGGAGTACAGGCGTGAGCCACCAAGCCCGGCCAATTTTTGTGTCTTTGTCGAGATGGGGTTTCACCATGTTGGCCAGGCTGGTCTTGAACTCCTGACCTCAAGTGATTCTACTGCCTCGGTATAAGATTTTTTTTAACCTTCTATTTACCCCACTTAAACTAAATCCAGAGTTTTAAATGGAGAAACCACACCAGGCAAATCTTAAGCCAAAAAAGAAAGAATATCTAAAGCCATACTTTCTATAGGGTCTTCTAAGGTACTCTTGATTTCCTCTCATTGTCTTCCTTTATGAATTCTTCTTTGTTAAATGCTATAACTATGTAACATAAAGATGTATCATATTAAAGTTCTCTGTGCATAACAGACTGCTTCATAGGAAAGGGTTTAATAAATTCTTATAATGTAAATCAGGATATTACTGCATTTAAAGAACAAAATTCTAGAAAAAAAAAATTATCTCTATATACCAGGTATGGTGGCTTATGCTATAATCCCAACACTTTCGGAGGCCAAGGCAGGAGGATTGCTTGAGGCCAGGAATGTGAGACCAGCCTGGGCAACATAGCAAGATCCCTGTCCCTACATAAAAAAATTAACATTAGCTGGTCATGGTGGCACATCCCTGTATTCCCAGCTACTTGGGAGACTGAGGCAGGAGGATCACTAAAGCCCAAGAGTTCAAGGCTGCAGTGAGCTGTACTTGAGCCCGGGCAACAGAGCAAAACCCTGTCTCTTAAAAAAGAAAGAAAAGAAAAAGATTATCTTTCTTAAAAGGAATTAATTTTTTTGAACACTTCCTATGTAGGTAGAAACTTCATTTTGCTTGTTTTGCTACTCTTGGCATATGTAGAAGAAATAAATGAAAAAAAGAGGCTTAAAAGGACATATTCCCAATAGTAATGTTCAGCACACACCTTGAGTATGACTATTTTGCATCTATAGCATCACTAATGAATGAACATTAGGTACTCTAATAGATTAAGTCATCAAAGAAACGTTGTGCTTTAAATAAAATCTAAAATGAGCTCTGGAAAGTATATTGGTCATCTGGTCTGGAAAGCATACCAGTCAACAATGTAAACAAAGTTGGTAGAAGGGTTTCCTGGTTGATCTTCAGTTAATTAGAATACACTATTCTCCCAAAACACTGATTAAAGTTTTATACTATTTTCTTTAAAATGTTATTAAAAAGACAAACAGCAAAATACTTTCAGTATCAGTAACTCCAAAGATAATAGATTAAAAGCAAAACAAATGCATACCTCCGATAAATCAGAAGATGACTTTTTCCTTTTTCCTTCTGTGGTGATTTCTACAAAAACCAAAGACGTGGTAAAAATTATCGTTTAACATCTAAATGAGATAAACAGTTTGATAAAGGAGATTCACATTCATTCCTTGTTTTAAATTAACTTGTTAGATTTAAATTTACACTGATATATTTTACAGAAACTGAAGGGCTAAACATAAAAGTCAAAAAATAACTACATGTCAGAAGAATAGCAGATTCTCACACAATGTCTCCAGTAAAAAAAATATATATATATATATAAAATATATATATATAATATACACACACACAAAAAAAAAAAAATAGAAAAGAAAGAGGAAAACTTGGCTCTAAGAACTAAACAAATTCCCTGGCCAAAGACCTCACACCTAGTAGTAGAACCATTTGATCAGACAAATTATTATAATGGGGGGAGGTAGAAGCAGGTGAAATTCTAGAAGTTAGAAGTTGAGAATATTCTATAAAAACACTTTCAGTTCTACTACATATCTAAGCATGCTGTGCAACTGGGAACAGTTTAACTGTCTTTTACTTACCAACATTTTTTCAGACTTGCTGTGGATTTTTCTGAGTCCTAACTTCCAATCAGCAAATATTAATTCAATGTCTATTATGTGCCCTGACACTGTGCTAGGCAATGAGTACAGTGTAGTAGGCAAATTAGGCAAAAGTTCCAAACTTTCCTGGAACTTATAGTCTACTGGAATATATCACAGATTTTACTAAAAACATAAATGGCAGAGATACATATAGATTGTCACCTGCTTGTGACAAATGCATGACTGCAATTCCATAGGAAAGGGATGATTTTCAAAATAAATGATGCTGAGGCAATTTGATAACCAAATGGGGGAATAACACCCTTGACTACCTCACACCATACACAAAATTAATTTGAAATGAATCATAGATTTCAATGTCAAAGATAAAAACAAAGCATCTAGATTTAAATAGGAGAATATCTTCATCACCTTTGGGTAGGCAAAGATTTTTCAGAGAGGGCACAAGTAGTACTAACCACAAATGAAAACATTAACAAACTGTACTTCATTGACATTAAGAACTTCTGATCCTACTGTAGCTCATGAGCATGATGCCTGGGTGTTCACACGCATCTGTGAGATGTGGCACCTTGAACCTTGTTACCATGTCAGCACATCACCCATCTGACATGAAAGAAAAATAAAGAACCACACTGGATTAGTGGGGGTTTTCTGTTTTGTTTTGTTTTTGAGACTGAGTTTTGCTCTTATTGCCCAGCCTGGAGTGCAATGGCGCAAATCTTGGCACACCGTAACCTTTGCCTCCCGGGTTCAAGAGATTCTTCTGCCTCAGCCTCCCGAGTAGCTGGGATTACAGGCATGTGCCACTACGCCAGGCTAATTTTGTATTTTTAGTAGAGGCAGGGTTTCTCCATGTTGGTCAGGCTGCTCTCCCAACCTCAGGAGATCCGCCCACCTCGGCCTCCCAAAGTGCTGGGATTATAGTGAGCCAAGGCGCCTGGCCTGGATTCACTTTGAGAAAGAAAAAAGGAAAAAAAGAAAAGGTCAGGCACAGAGGCTCATGCCTGTAATCCCAACACTTTGGGGCCAAGGCATGGGGATCACTTGAGCCCAGGAGTTCGAGACCAGTCTGGGCAACACAGTGGGATCCCATCGCTACAAAAATGTTAAAAAATTAGCTGGACATGAAAGCACATGCAGGTAGTCCCAGCTACTCAGGAGGTTGAGATGGAAAGATCACTAAAGCCTGGAAAGTTACAGCTGCAGTGAGCCATGACTGCAACACTGCACTCCAGCCTGGGTGACAGAGTGAGACCCTGTCTCAGATTAAAAAAAAAAAAAAAAAAAGAACTTCTGTTCATCAAAAATCATCAAGAGTGAAAAGGCATGTCAAGATTAAAAGAAAAATACTTATAATACATGCATTTGTCAAAGAATTCATAACCAGAATATATAAAGAACTCCTAAAGCAAAAGCAAGATAATCCTATCTTCAAAACGGACAAAAGTCTGAATAGGCACTTCACAAAAAATAATATCCAAATGGCCAATAAACATATAAACGGGTGCTCAATTTCATAATCATTAGGGAAACGCAAAATTAAAATGGCAATGAAAACCATTAAACAGCCTTTAGAATGGGTAAAAGTAAAAAGATTGACACCACCAAGTATTAGTGAGAGAGTGGAACTCATATGCTGTTGCTAAGAGTAGTGCTTCACCAGCATCTACTGAAGTTAGACACCTGCCTATGCAATATCCAACAATTACACTTTTAGATAAATAACCAACAGAAATAAGAATATTCAGGTATTTTTGTTCTTAATATCCAAAAACTGGAAACAATCCAAATATCCACGTATGGACAAACATATTCATGTAATGGAAAACTGTACAGCACTAAAAGATAATGAATTACTGCTATGCACAATATGGATATATCACTCAGGCAAGCTTAAAGGAAACCAGATGCAGAAGAGTATATGATTCTATTTCTCTGAAATTCAAGGAGGGTTAAAATAAACCTATGGTAACACTAGTTAAAACAGTGACGGGGGCCAGGCATGGTCGCAAATGCCTATAATCCCAGCACTTTGGGAGGCTGAGGTGGGTAGATCGCTTGAGCTCAGGAGTTTGAGACCAACCTGGGCAAAATGGTGAAACCTCATCTGTATAAAAAAGTGTGGTGGTGTGCACCTGCACTCTCAGCTACTCAGTAGGCTGAGGTGGGAAGATCACTTGAACCAGGAAGTTGAGGCTGCAGTGAGCTATGATGGCACCACTGCACTCCAGCCTGGGCAACAGAGCAAGACACTGTCTCAAATTAAAAAAAAAAAAAAAAAAAAAAAAAAAGCCACTGAACTATATACTAAAGATATGTGTACTATATGGTACTTAAAATCAGAAATAATAACTAATGAAATATAGACTACCAAAAAATCTATATTGCTGAAATGATTTATTCTAAGTTCATAATACACAGCATTAGTTTCACTATATGAACCATGTAATGTTTTCCTGATCTAAAAAATTATTTTCAGGCCAGGTGCAGTGGCTTATGCCTGTAATCCCAGCACTAATGGGAGGCCGAGGTGGTTGGGTCACTTGAGGTCAGGAGTTCGAGACCAGCCTGGTCAATATGGGGAAACCCATCTCTACTAAAAATACAAAAAAAAAACTAGTTGGGTATAGTGGTAGGCACCTATAATCCCAGCTACTCAGGAAGCTGAGGCAGGAAAATCGCTCAAACCCAGGAGGCAGAGGTTGCAGTAAGCCAAGATCACGCCACTGCACTCCATCCTAGGCAACAAGAGCAAAACTCCATCTCAAAAATATATATATATATATTTTCACCTCTATATTTAAGCGTTTGACAACTTCAAATTTCAATAAACTAGTACTCAAGTTGACTACCAAAAATAAAGAATTTTTTAAATAAGTGATAAGAAAGTCTTTATCCTGTAGAAATTCATTTTGTAGTCAATTTTAAATTTAACAAAACACTTATCTATATATACACAATGGAATACTATTCAGGAATGAAAAAGGAATGAACTCATGTCTTTTACAGTAACACAGAACTGGAAACCTTCATCTTCAGTGAAATAACTCAGATTAGAAGCTTACATCTATATTCCCAACACTTTGGGAGGCCAAGGCGGGGTGACTGCTCAAGCCCAGGAGTTTGAGATCAGCCTGCACCACATGGTGAGACCCTGTCTCTACAAATATTTCTTTGAATTAGCTGGGTACAGTGACACCACCTGTGGTCTCAGCTGCTTGGGAGGCTGAGGTGGGAGAATCGCATGAGCCCAGGAGGCTGAGGCTGCAATGGGCCATATTTGCACCACCACACTCCAGTCTGGACAACAGAGCGAAACCATTTCAAAAAGAAAAAGAAAAAAGAAAAAAAAAGAAGAACTCAGAAAGTCAAATACCACATATTCTCACTATAATACGTAGGGGCTAAATAATGTGTGTACCCGTGGACACAGAGTGTGGAATAACAGTCACTGGAGACTTGGAAGGCTGGGAGTAGTACAGTGAGGGATGAGAAATTACTTAATGGGTACACTATTCAGCTGATGATTGCACTAAAAGCCCAGATTTCACCACCACACAATATACCCACATAACAAAGCTGTACTTGTACCCCTTAAATTTATACAAAATAAAAGAATATATCATTTTTTAAAGGAGTATCAGTTCCTTAAATTTCAATTTACAAATTTATATCCCCAAAATATCTCATTGGGTTAAAAGTGCTTCCATCCTGTTTTGTTCCGCTATTTCCTTTCATTAATGCTATTATGAATTCCCAAATGTTTATGTTTTTTTTTCTTGGCCAACTTTGTCTAATAAAAAAATTTACAGTTTTTTTATAACTGACTTGGTCCATCTTATACCAGGTTAGCTCTGGAGTGTTTAAATAAGCATATGATGTGCCTCGACTTGAGACTGTATGGTATAGTTATCATGCTTAAGAGTATATATTTTAAAGCTAGACAACCCAAATTTGTATCTTGGCTTACTAGTTGTGACTTCTTTGAGTCGCAGTTTCTCATCTGTAAAACGGGAGAGAATATATGCCTTTTTAATTGTTAAGATTAAAGTATGATAGTCTATATTAAGGCATTTAGCATTACGTCTAACATACAGTTGGTACAAAAGAAATGGTAACTATAACATTTTATAGTCAAGTATCTCCCTTTAGGAGACTGCAGTATTTTAGCATTAGCATATAGGAAAATCTCTCCAATTACTCTCATTCTAAATATACGAGTCAAAAAATTAAAAGCATAACTTTTCCCATTCAGTCACTTATTTATTCTTTTTTTTTTTTTTTTTTTTTTTTGATGGGGTGTTTTTTTTTTTTTTTTTTTTTTTTTTTTTTTTTTGAGATGGAGTCTTGCTCTGTCACCCAGGCTGGAGTGCAGTGGCATGATCTCAGCTCACTGCAACCTCTGCCTTCCAGGTTCAAGTGATTCTCCTGCTTCAGCCTCCCGACTACCTGGGACTA